ATCAGTTTATACCCTCTCCCAACCCAGGTTCTCGTTTGTAAGCTAATTTAACGATTAGTGAACAAACTTGTAACAGTGTAAAGATAGTACTTCTATTTATACAAAATTTTTCAATACATTTTAATTCTATTTATATTACAAAATTATAAAAAGATATATATAAAAGATAGAAAAGATAAATAGAAAAAGTAGAAAGTAGATAAAAAAGATAAATAATAAAAATAAAAAAGATAGAAAAGATAAATAACAAAGATAGAAAAAATAGAAAAGATAAATAACAAAGATAAAAAAGATAGATAAGATAGATAATAAAGATATGAAAGATAGAAAAAATAGAAAATAAAGTATAAAAAATAGAAAAAATAGAAAATAAAGATAGAAAATAAAGGCAGAAAGAGTAGAAAAGATAGAAAATAAAAATAAAAAAGATAGATAATAATAATAATTATACAATTATTAAATAATTAATATATATATAAACTATTTTTATCAATTTGTTATTTTGTTACTATTTTGAAGATTTTTATATTTTCTACTATTTATTAATTAAAAAATTTTTGAAAATAAATATAATATTATATTTAACTTAATAATAATTAATAAAATCAAATTTTGAATTATTTTTTATATTTAATTTAATAAAAACTAAAATGATTAAATATTTTAAATTATTTTCTATTTTTAATTTATATTTATATAATTTTATACTTTTATATATACATTTTTATAATAAATTATCAAAAATATTATAAAATTAAAATTATTTTTCTATAATGAAATTTTAATTTTTATTAATAAATATTTTTTGTATTTATATCTAAAATCAAGCTAAGTATCTGTATTTAATATATATTTTTATAAATTTTTAAATTATATTTCAAATTATAAAGATAAATAATTAAATTTAAAAAAATCTATAAAAAATATATGTTAAAATATAGATTTTTAACTTTATTTTAATATAAAAACAAAAAATATTTACTAATAAAAATAATTTTAATTTTATTCTATTTTACTATAATTTTTTAAATTTCCAATAATTTATTATAAGAATATGTATAAATATAGTATTTTAAGTATTTTCAAATATAATAGATAATAGAATTATGAAATTATACAATTTTATTAATAAAATATATAAAAATTGAAATTTTTATCTTATATAAAAGTTTGCAATTTTATTTTTTATTTTTATATTAAAATAAAGATTATAAATTATAGTTTAATATATATTTTTTTGATTTAATTATTTTAATTACAAATTTATTGTAAAAATTTTATAAAAATTTTGCAATTATAATAACTTTGTCAAAAAATTTAAATTATAATTTATAATCTTTGTTTTAATATAAAATAAAAAATATTTATTAATAAAATAAAACTTTTATATAAGAAAAAAATTTAAATTTTTATTATATTTTACTAATAAAATTATATATTTAATTTTATAATTTTATTAATTATTATATATTAAAATATTTAAATAAGTAAATTAATAAATAGTTTATAAATAAGAATATTATTAATAATTTAATTTATTAAATTAATTTATAATTAAAATAAAAAATTATAAATATACTAAAATAACTCAAATAAAAATAACTTGTAATTAAAATAAGTAATTATTTATATTAAAATAAACTAAATAAAATAAATAATTATTAATAAAATTCAATAAAACTAAATAAACTAAAATAAATTAATAAAAAAAAATTAAATTAATATTATATTTGTTTATTAATTTTTTAAAGAACTTTTTTATTAAAACAAATTTTTTTAAGTTAATAGAAATTTTGATTTTGAATTAATTTAAAATTGATTGATTAATTTTAAGCTAAAATACATATTTTTATAAATATAAAAACAATTATAAATAATATAATAATATTAAAATTATTAATTAAATATAGTAAAATACAAATTTTTCTTTTTATATAAAAGTTTTTGATTTTACTAATAAATATTTTTTATTTTACATTAAATAAAAATAATATTAAATATATTTGTTTAAATTTAATCTGATCAAGTTATTCTAATTATATCTAAAGTTAATTATTTTTTTATAATTAAAATATATAAAAAATAATTGATTTTTAATGCAATTAGAATAACTTGATCAGATTAAATTTAAATAAATATATTACTATGATTATTTTAAATAAAGAGTTTCTTTACTTTTAGTAAGAGAATCATATTAATTAGAAGAAAGAAATAGACTAATAAAATTGATTAATGCAAAAATAAGTATCTAAATCTGTGTCAATTTTGACAGAAATTGTTAAATAATTCTATCAAGAATAAAAAAGGAATTGAAAGAGTATTTAAAAAGATAATTAACTAATAGAGATTACTAACTAAAAATAAAAATATTGATATTTCTATACTTGTAGTCATATATTTTAGTGCTTTCAATACTGAAAAAAATAGATTAATAAAGAAAATATTACTTATTTAGAGTTGTAGTGCACAACTATACAATATTACTTATTTAAAATTACAATATATAACTATATAATATTACTTATTTAAAGTTGTAATATACAACTATACAAAAATAATACTATAACAAATCAAAATGTTTATAAAAATACTTTAATCATCATATTTTTGTATTATAATAAAATAATATAGTATAATAATATATAATATAATATAGTATAATATAATTATAATTACATAAAAAGTTAATTATATTATAATTAATAATTTTGTTCTATACTAAAATACCAATAACAAAATAAAAAAATAAAAGTTAAACAAATATAAAAAATGATAAATATATCAAGAAAATTATATAATTAATATATTTAATTTAGAATAATAATAAACTAAAAATAGAAAAATAAGAAAAAATAAGAAAAAATAAGAAAAAAAGAAAAAAATAGAAAAAAATAAAAAAAAGAGAAGATTATTGACTTAAATATATAATTAAAATATTATTATAATATTTAATATATATAAAAATGAATATTATTAAAGTAAAACAATAATAAAATATAATATAATTAAAATTCTTAAATATAAATAAATAATAATTATATATTTTTTCAAATGTTCTTTTATTCTTATTTATTTTGTTATTATATTTAGATTTCTTAAAAAAAATGGGCAAACTCTTAGTTTGAACTTTTATTATTCAGACAAGATTACAAAAAATATAATAAGTAATTAAGTTCAAGAAAAATTCTTCAAATTATATATGTTTTAATTTGATTTTTTTTAGTTTTGAATTAATAATTTGATTTTTTTCAAATTTAAAAAATGACTTCTTATTAAATAAGATACTAAAAACATATATAGTAATTGATATAACAAATTACAAAAATAAATTAAACAAGCAAAAGAGAAGAAACTGAAAAGCAGTTTATTATTATACTAATACAAAAAATCTGGATTTAATAAAATTCCTATAAAATTCAACAAATTGCATAAATTATAGATATATAGATTATAAGTTTGCAAATTTTGCAGGTATTTACATTATACACTATAAGTAGACATAGTTAAAGTCGTTTTATTTACTATACAAAGTGGGATCTTAATTACAATTTGGGTATTCATGGTATTCATCATGAATTGTTAACGAAAATACATTTGAATGACGAATATAAAGTCCACCGGTAGGAGAAAGACTACTACGCGTAGTCTGCGTATTGCTAGCTTGTGTCAGATTATCAACCAATGGCTTCAAGACACCTTCATTTGGACCAGGGGTTTTTGATAATCTGGAACCTTAAAACCAGCTGACCATATGTGTGCACGTTAAGTGACGCCACAGTTTTTTGAGATACGAATGATTTTGCGCTCGTTTCTAGTTCTGAAACACATATGGGTGATGCTGACTAGTGTTCGGGTTAATTTGAAACCAAACTGAAATCAAACTCAAAACAAACCGAAAATTATTTCGGAGCGATCTGATCATTTCGGATTAAATCCGAAATGATATACGTATCGATATAATCTAATCAATTAATTTTATTCTCACCAGAATACGTAAGTAGATTTATTTCATTAATATAGTCGTCACTATTTTCAAATTTATCTATTGTCTGTATCAAGGATGCTGGTTTATCGAACATCTGCTATATCGTTTAACTCTTCACTTGCATATCAACTAACTCCGAAACCGAATACTAGTGCTGGCGATTGGTTTGCCGAAGGTAATAATGTAAAATTAGTTACACTATTGAGAGTCATCATCTATTAGGTTTTTGTTATCTCCTATCAGATTAAACCGACTGGAAAGTTCTTGCAGCCTGTTCTGATGCTAATGGAGTGGACGAAAATCACTAAACGGTGATGGGGGAAATTACTCACGATGAGTGATAATTATATAACCGAGAGTGATTTATGGAGTATAACGGAAAATCGAATTAGGGATCCGGGCTTATCTAAATATATGCTTCTGAAGCACATTTCGAGAACCCGGAGTATTACTCTAGAGTGACTAAGCAAGTTTGAGTTGGGTTGAATTTTGTGGGGTGGAGTCAGTAGAAAATGGAAAAGTAGTTTGTCCCTTCTCTACTGACTCCATCATCCATATTATCATTAACAATCCTAAATAAAATGTAACTACTTTTAATTTGGTTCATTTGTCATTAAGAACAATGATGCAGGAGCTCTTAAATCGACAATATGCTTCATGTTATAAATTCTATCAATTTCTTAACAAGGAAGTAAATCCAAACTAGGGGTGCAGTAAAAACTCAAATTCAGTGAATAAACTAGTTCGGGCATTATGACTTGTTGAAACCTCAAGTATTTGCACAAATATAATTTAGTGATGGCACCATTTGATTTGTTTCAACAAGGCAAATTAAATGGTACCATCACTAAATTAGCTTCTACCTTGGACTTGAGTATTTACTGCATTCCTAATCCAAACTTTAACCGATAATATTATCGTTATAGGAGAGGATTTTTTTTGATACTATCGATATACCGGTTTGTATTTACTTCTTAGTTAAGAAGTTGATAGAATTTATAGCGATAACGATCGATATTGTCGATTTAAGAGTTCGATAATATCGCTATGTTTATTGCTGTTAATTTTAATCATATTAGAATGACAATATTCAAAAATTATTTTTTCAACTACAATAAACTTAGTGAATTTCACTTCATGTTCTTTGAAATGAAAATTCGTTTTATTTATTATTTTTATAATAGATATAATAAGATGAAATGAGAAAATTTAATATATCATAACAGATACAAATGATTAAAAAAAATTTTCTAGCGATAACCTTTAGCTAATTTTGTCGAATTGGTAGACCCCAACCAACCAGTAATTTTTTGTCGTCAATAAAGAATTTTTCATTTTGTGTTTAGCCCGAAGATTGGTACTACGACACACCTGATTTGCATTTACGTATTAATCGAAGTGCATTAAAATGCAGAGGATGATCTAAGGTATAGCGAACCTTTTCATAACGAACACGAGATAAAACAAACTTTAATTTTTAACTTTATTATGTGTTTGTAACAGAGTTTCTATATATTACAGCAGTCCAATTTAAAAAAGCACTTGCTAAAAATTGTTGTCTGATACAAAAGAATTATCGAACCATATAATATTATGCAAAATACAATTTACGTACTGTTTCGAACTTTGGTTCATTAGCCGAAGTGGTAGAAGACGTTAAAGCATTCATTTTATCAAGGTTTATTTACCAAGTTCGGTTTACTTGGGTAGTTTTACTCTAGTTGTCCCCAAGTCATCTTCTATTTATTGAGGCGGGGTTACTATAACGGGTTATTCGGTTTATGCATGTTTTAATTAATACTTCGGTTTAACAACTGTATAATCAACTACGTACGTAATATTATGCTTTAAAATGTATCGTTGATCAATTCAGCCAAAATATTTACAAAGCTTTAACGTTAAAGTTTAGATTGTCTTAAGGTTGTTTTAGCTTTGTTTAGAAATTCGTCCCTTTTATTGTTAAAATGCGAACGACCAATAACATTGTTTTCCAATCCAATTATGCGATTTCGTAAGAGTTTGTATCGTTTTTCCAAATTCTGCGATATTAAATGTTTATTACACACATACGTACAGTTACACGTTTCTCGTACAAGCAGTATTGTTATCTGCGTATTACAGAATTCATTGTTACTTGCATCGATAATCTGATCAAATTGAATTCGTTCTACGAGAAGCAATCTCAACAGGAAAGTATGTAACGATAAGGTGTTTCTGGTCCGTGAACGTGAAAATGTTCTATGTACAGCCACTTTATTAGAATTTAATTTAAGAATGACAAAACATTCCTTTTTTTCGATTCACCATAGACCGCCACCAACTTGTTCATACGCAGGTTCTTTTATATTGTTGGTTTGTTTGTTATACTCTGCTGAGAATGGAATTACAGAATAGTTCTTTTTGACCGCAAACTTTTTTAGGTAATGCTGCTGAAAACGGAAAAATTTTTTCGAAAATTTTCGGTTAATACCAAGGACCCCTCGTTATACATGTATCATATTTCTTGATAGACCCTTTGAATGTTATCATTTACTAAACCAAAAACGAAAAACGAAACCCAAAATTCGCGAAAAAATAGAATTTCCAATTCCGTACATACGTACGTATGGTGATATTGACGCACCCATGCACCTTATAAGTGCGCATTATGCATCCTATTAATAGCGCACACAAACAAAATGAAGGAAAAAAGGATACAATCGTTAATTACATAAACTTTTTTTAAATACGTAATGAGTAGCAGCCGAAGGTGGTGGCTCTTCTCGTGTCAGCATGCAAGCAGACGAACAAGGGTTAGTTGGCAAATTTAGCATTTCTGCATATGCATATAATAATACATATAATGTTATAATAAATGTATTTGTTGCATTCATTTTCTTCTCTCTTCTTCTTGTAGCCATTCATCGTAATTCTTTTAACCTTTACCATTTTTTCGAAAACAACAAACCAAAATTATTTTAACAATGTTTTTAGAAAGAACTGCAACTAACAATAGCAATCGGTTAGACGATAAACCAAGCAAAAAAGAAAAAAGGACAATTTCGAAAATAGCGTCGAAAAGTAAAAAAGTTTATCATTTTTTGAAAAAAGCTTTCAAAGGAAAAAAACCAAACATTATAGTAGAAAATTGTGCCACTGCTGTTACTAATGATGATGCAAATGTGAATACTAGCGATGACGACAATACTAAAGTTAGCAAAACTATTGAAACATCCAACAGAACTTTTACTGATACTGCTGTTACTACTAATACCACCCCTACTACTACTAGTAATGATACTACTAATAAAGATATTACCAATAATGATACTACTAATAAAGATACTACTGGTAAAGATGCTACCAATAAAGATACCACTGGTAAAGATACTACCAATAAAGATTTTACTGGCAAAGATACTACTACTGCTACTACTACTACTAGTAGTAGTAGTAAGGTAGTTGCCTTGAAACGGTCAATTTCTTCATTAATAAAACGTCCAAGAAAAAACTCTCATGACTTGACAGCAATCCAACAACTCATTCAACAACGAGCATCAACAACACTCAAATTCATAGATGACCAACCAGAAGAAGAAGAAGAATCACAGTCAACAACTCCAATAATAGATTTAAACACACGTCTACTACAACAATCGATCAAAATACTCGCTGAAATAGAGACAGAAATTTCACAGCCACACATCACATCACTTGAAAAACTCGACCGACAAACTTCGGATATCAATGAACAAATTAACGGTGAGGACGACAGCAAAGTAAAACTATCCGAGTATGATGTGGCGTGGATTGCAATGATACCAGACCAGAAATATAAACAATCACAATTACCAAGAGATTTTAAATTGGCTTTTCCGGAATGTTTTTTGTGGTTATTGAAATTTCAGGATACGCGAGGAAGCTGGACAAAAGTTGGTACAAAGAGTATAGCACCGTCACTTTCGGCGCTTTTGGCTCTTGGATTATTCAGAGCTCGCGCGGGACAATATTTTAAAGAAAAGTTATCAGATTTGGGTGCATGCATAGTAAGTCGATCACCGTGTTATTTACATGTATTTACGTATTTTGTCAAAAAAAAAAACTTTTATTTACTTTACTATCGTTATACATGTATAATAGGAAGATTTCAATCGTGTGTTTTCCAAAGGAGAAACATTTTTGCGAGAAAAGTAAGAATTCACTATCGTTATGAAGATAAGTTTATGCATATATAATCTAAAGTTTTTTTGTTAATATTATTTTCTAGTCTTAATAAATGGAGTATTGACGAACACAAAACCGCCACCACCACACCCATTGAAATGATCGTATCCTTTCACCTCAAAGAACTTGAGAAATTCACTCCACCAATCACATTCGACTTTCCAGCAAAAGAACGACTTAGTGACTACCAAAAACGAATGAATAAAATACCAGCCGACGAAATTTTCTCGTTAGCTTCTCGTAAATCGTCCGGTGAAATGATTCATCCACTTGAAATATTAGTTAGTGCAATGAACATTTCTGACGTTCAGGATCCTTGTTTTTATTCGTTACACGGGTCATCGCCGGCGGTTACAGCTGCAGTTTTGATCTCCGACTCGGAATGGAATAACGACGCGTACAAATTTCTTCGAAAATTGATTTCTAGTTGGCGAAAATCGGATATGTATTCAAATCAGAAAGCTAAATCTCCGACAAACCCTGATTTTGAGTCTTGCTGGATCGTTGAATGCGTTGGTGAATTGATCTTTAATGCTAGTTCCACTGCATCTACTTCTGCAGAAAATCCACATTTGGAAGAAGTAGAGGATAGATTTGAACACTTGTTGGATTACATTAGAAATAAAATTGAAGAGCAAAAAGGATTATATCAATTCAAAAGTTTTGATAATAAGACGACCGCCGACATTAATCACACAGCTCTTGCATTACACCTTTTGGCTCAATATGACTCAGAGAATCGAATAAACGTGGAGAATTTCATCCAATTTTTTTGGACTGGTGAATATTTCAACATTTTACCACGTGAACGAACTCATTCATCTATCAACAATATTCACGCGCTGAATGTATTATTGACCGAGCGTGACAATGCCAAAAGAAGGAAGGAATATCCAATCATGGTAGAAAGTGAAACCGTCAATGGAAAAGTGGCAACCTTGAATCTCGATTATATTATTCAAATCACGATCGAATTCATCCAATCGAAAAGAACCGAAAATTTCGTATGGACAGATGAGTGGCATTCAACACCTTGGTACACAACATTAAAAGCAATCAAAGCATTGTTATCATTGCAACAACATCAGAAAATACTTGCCACCACTTCATTCCGAAATAGGTCTTCGCTGTTGACATATTGTAGATCAACTATTGACTATGCACTCAAAACACAGCATTGCGATGGTAGTTGGGGAGAGATGGCCGCAAATGATGCAATCGGAAATCTCGAGGAGACAAGTTACGTTATACGTCTGCTACAAATGTGCACTGTTTATTGGTCGAAAGATGAAGCTTTGGCGTCTGCATTAAAGAAAGGCCGTGAATTTTTACTTAAGAATTTCGAACAAGCAACAACTGAGAAAACATTCTTCAATAATCATCAACCTCCTTTATGGGGCATCTATACGGCACCTAAATCTATACAAGCATCGATGCTATGCGCATTATGGAATTAGATTTAGTTTATGCTTTTCAGCATGTACGTATGTGTGGTCTTTTATTGTTTAATGTGGTGATTTGAACCGATTGGTACGTGACCGAATAACCGACGCATACCAAGAAAACACAGTTGAATCGATCGGGTCAAATGCATAATCGGTTAAAACGCGAATAACCGCCCTCCGGTTAAACACCAATTAACTGGTTCAGTTATTCATCTATTTGCGGAAAATCAAGTATTTACCTAAACAGTCATTATTAAAGTTAGAATTGATATAACGATAACGATAACAAAATGTATTCAATTAGCAGATTTAATTAACCTAACCCTAATGATTATGCGACTTTTTAGATGTAAACTTTTATCGTTATCGTCATTAATACATGTAGAGTGCTTACATAATATATTTGTATAATTAATGTTAATCTTAATTAACACATCATTACCGTTACTGTTACTAAATTATATTTTGAAATTGTGGTTTCTAACTTTAACCATTAAAAAAAATGCTGCTGTTCGCTGAATCCAGATAATGAATAAGTTATTGAATTACGCTTAATAACGATAACATTCTTTGTACTTGACTTCTTTATAATCTTTTCAAAACTACGTACTGCTTTGTGAATTTTGTACTCAAAAGTTGATGAAAGATGGATTATAAAACAAGAGCACCAATGAAAAATATCTACAAATTTGTCAGTACGTACGTATCGATATGTATCAAGAAAAATAACAAATAACGATAATACGTATCGTTATTGAATGCAAAAATCCGAAAACGCCAATTGATTCATGCTATTTGCGGTTCGGTGTATCCGAAGTTTTGTGTGCTGTATACATATCGGTATGTGTAACAAGTTTTGGAAATAAAAATCCGAACTGCTAAATGAAACCTTGTGAAATTTCAGATGGAAAATTGTAATCAAAAATTTCTCCGATTTGGATAGAAGTGTTACATTTAAACAGTGTCTAAAACTGACCTGCACCGCAGATTGCGCAGATAAAAAATTCATACTTTATTATGAATCATAATGGAGTATTGATATACCGTATAGTCCCGGACATAAGCACCACTTTTTGGAGCCTAATTTTGGCGGATATTGAGGGGTGGTGCTTAAACTCGTGAAGATTTTTCCCAAACATGTAATTTTAATAGAATCTCTCTTTGAACCACTCTACCGCCTTATCCGAGGCGCATATATAATCCATCAGTATACAGTGGCACACTCTTATGAAATCGTACACCGAAAAAAAAATGGCAAGATTTGAATATCTCGTCTCGCCATTGAAGAATTATAAGCGGCTAAAGGTAAGCAGAATTTATTCATTAAAATAATAAGTATCTATCAATTGTTGTTAAGATATTGGAAGTTCTCTTTGAATATTTCTTTGAATCTTATAAATACCTTTAAGTATTTTGAAAGTCAATCAAAATGGTAACAATATATATAAATTATTTAATAAATATTCAAATAATATACAAAAAGTTTAATTGCAATAATATACTTATTGTTTTTCGCTATTTTAAAATTTATTTTAATTTCTACTTTTTTAGCGTTCAGTGTAATATGACCGATCTGGATGAAAATATTTAAAGGCCTATTTTTCCTTAAGGAAGTATTGGCAGCTCTTGACGTTTCTTTTAACAAGACATTCAATGATAAGCTTCGAAGAAAATGGATGGCAAATGAGGAGTTTACAACAACTAAATCAGGTATGCTAAGATGTGTGAATGGTATTGAAACATGAGATGAAATTCCAACATCAATGATTATACATGTAAAATCTTTTAAAAATGTGGAATTTCGAATGCTATAGATCAGAGTTGTCAATTTTTGCTTCCAGTGGGCTTTTGTGTAAACTGGAAGTCAATTGGAAAGTTCCATTTGCTTCCAATGGCCTTCCAATGAGCTTACATTAACCTTCTGGGTGCTTCCGTTGACAACACTGCCGCTATAGATGGTACAGAAGATGATCTTTTATTTGAATCAGATTGTGAGAATAATATTGAAATTAATAATGATGATGAATATCAAGATACTGTCAAAGAAATGATGTATTAGTTCTGAATTTGAAGAATAAATATTATATTTGCTATTAAATTTTAGTTATCTTATAAAGTAGCGCTTATTTGCACTTTTTAAGAGGTTTGAACTCTAAACTGGGGAGTGGTGCTTATTCTCGGATGGTGAATATTTCAGGACTATATGGTATAAATTTTGAATACTTTATCATTCACGATAACCAGTAGAATTTTGGTATATTACAAGTTTTTTAATTATAACAGACTTTTTATATAATATAATAACAATAAAAAGAGCAAATATAAAGAAATTTAATTATTTTATGATTTTTTTTAGAAAAATTATATATTTTTATTAAAAACTATAATTAATTTTTATAATATAATTAATTTTTTATAATAATTTAGTTAACTTATAATATCTATTTATTTTTAATAAAAATTATAAATTATAATTTTAAATAAAAGTGTAAAAGCTATAAATTAATATTAAATAGTTAATATCAATAGATTGGATTTATTTGTATTATTAGTAGTATATTATATTATACTATATTATATTACTTTTTAATAGCAATTATTTAATAATTCAATATATTAATTATATTAATTATATTTTTAAATATTTTTTAATAATTCATTAAATATATATAATTATATAGAAAAAGTTTTATATAATTAAATATTTTTTATATTGTTATAATTTTTTTTAAAAATAAAATTTCTTGGTGACTGGATTTTTATTTGATATTAATTAGTAATTTTATAATTAAAATATTATACTATATATAGTATAGCTAAAATTTCAAGAAATAACATATTTTAAAAATTTTTAAATTATTTTATTAATTATTATCAAATAAAATCAAGTTTAATAATATTAAAACATCTAATAATTATTATATATTTTTATATTTGGTTTTAAAATTTTTTAAATTATACTAAATATAATATAAAGATCTAAATTCAATTTATTAATAATAAATTTATATATTATTTACAAATAATTTTAACAAATATAAAAATAAAAATATTTTTATTGTTTTTAATTAACTTTAATTCTTAATATTATAAATTATTTTATTAATAAAATTATAGTTCAAATTTAAATCTATAAATTAATATATTATATTAAATATTAATTTTAAATTAAACTCAAATTAAACTCGAATTTATATTATAATTTAAATCTAGTTCAAATTTATATAAAAGTCTAATTTAATTTAATTTAAATAATATTGATAAAAACTTTTATTATTATATTAAATAATTTTGTTTAAAAAAAATTAAAATATTTATTTAAATCATTAACAAGTATTTACTTGAACTCAAATTAAATTTTTGATCTGGTTTAAAGTTTGAATCAAACTCAAATTAGATTTTTAATTAAATTTGAATTTTGAATTGGACTTTTGATCAGGTTGAAGTCTAATTCAAGTTCAAACTGAATCAGATTCAAACTGAATCAGACTTTTTTTTAGAATCCTACTTTAGATAATTATTATATTTGAAATTGTATTTTTAAAAAATATATAAATAGAGGTGTTATCTAAGAATGATTACTGAAATAATATCATCTAATTAAATAATTAACTTGTCAAAATTAAATTTGAAATTATTTTGATTTATTTTATTAATAATCAAAATTATTTTCTGAAATTATTTGAATTCTACAAATCAAAACAAGTATTTCTAGATAATTTTTAAGTATTCATTAATATAAGCAATATAGTAAAACTGAATTATTTGCTAAAATACCATTTTTTTCAAAAATAATTTAAAAGACCATTTTTAGTGTTATCTGAATTTTAATTTGATATATTACAAATAAAAATAAATTTTCTTAATAAAAATTTTCTTTTAAATAATAATCATTTTTTCTATTTTCAATTATATATCAAAGCTTATATATAAATGACTTTGAATTATATTATATTAAACAAAATATTAATAGCTTTATAATATATTATACTGAACAAATTGCTATTATTAACTTTGAACTTTATATTAAATTATATTGAACAAATTACTATTATTGAATTATTAACTTTATATTATATTGTGCTAAACAAATTACTATTATTGGAATTATTAATTTTGAATATTAAATATTTTGAATATTGCTAGTTTATTATTTTGATATTTCTTATTCTTCAAAAAAACAAAGTAAAAGAGTATTTGTTATTATTACTATTAATTATATTAGTAAATATAGAAAATTAGTCTTTTAAATTCTTTTTGTTATTTATTTCTTTATTATTTTATATTTTTTTTTTCTTCTTGATCTTTACTCTTTCATAATTTTCTCATATTATTAATATATCTTTGAATTATTATAATTTTTATAAAAATTAGCATAGAACTTGGATATCTCTTTTTTTTAATATTTTATTTATTGTTTAATATTCTCTTTCAATTCAGTTTCAAGTTTGTAAGCTAATTTAACAATTAATAAACAAGCTTATAATATTACATTCTTAGAATACTTGTAGTAGATTTCTTAATAACTAAATAGAATTTATATTATTAAATATAAACTCAAATATAAAAGTAATATAATAAGAAGTAGATTATATATTTACTATTAAGAATATATCTATAAGTTAAATTTTATGAAAAATACATTCACCAAAAAAATAAATTACAGTCAAATCTCTTTATAGTTACCATCCTTGAAAAAGCAAAATTTGGTGATTATGAAGAAAATATGACTATAGAGAGATTTTTTTACTATATTTATATGTAAATAAAAAAGCAAAATAAGATAAATATAGAGAGATATGACTATAAACAGGTGTAATTATAAAGAGATGTAACTATAAAGAGGTATGACTATAGAGAAGTTTGATTGTATTTATTTCTTGTCAATATATTTTGTCATAAAAAAAATAATTTCAATTTATTACTTTTTATTATCAAAATTGTTCAAGAATATAATTATAAAGTGAATTAAATATAAAGAGCAAAAAAAATTCATTAAAAAATACTCGTTA